ACTTGATCATAGTTGCAGACCAGGTTCACTCATTCATGGCAACAGTTTTTTCTGCGGGGTACGGTGTTTACCAACAGGATAATGCACCATGTCAAAAGGGTCGAATCGTCGAGGAACATTCCAGTGACTTTCAAGTCATGCCTTGGCCCCCAAATTCACCTGACCTTAATCCAATAGAGCATTTGTGGTCCTACTTGAGAAACCAAATTCGTCTTGCCACGATACCTCCTCGCAATGTGAGGGAATTGCAGGACCAGTTGGTGAGCGCTTGGTACCAGATACCTCAGGCTACCTATCAGCACCTTGTGGAATCAATGCCACTACCGGTGCTAGCAGTTTTGAGGGCTAAAAGTGGTCCTATATGTTATTAGCAGGGTGGTCATAGTGTAATGGCTCTTCGGTGTATATCTAAACTGATTAACCATTTTGCAATTATTATGGTTGTTATAATGACAGTGGGTCGTAATGAAACCACCTATTAACTTTATTACAGAATTCTATGTTCTATGCAATAATAAAAACTGTAATTTGGCAGTTAAAAAAAATTTTTTTTTCTTGAAGGAAAGAAGCTGCATTCAAGTTTGTCAGCATGTATAGTGGCGAAATATCCAAATACCTTTACTATAGTATTTTTTGTTCTATGCAATAGTTACAACTTTAAAATTTAAATTTATTTATCAGCTAGAAAGTAGCTTTTTTGAAGGTAAATTATTATCTATTCATCGCCTCCTTTGCTACGCACAACACGGAAACATATTAAATAAATTAGTTTTCTTTGTAAGCTTTATTAAATGATCCTAGAATTTAAACACACAAATTTACACACACGGTCAACCCTCCTGTATACTTTTTCGACCTTTTGGTGAGTTTAAAGAAAGATTAATTTTAACCTATGATGTTTCTTCAATCGCCTGGGTAAAAAAGTTCTCGTCAAAGGGATCCCCAATCTCTGTTGGGTTTTCTTTATCCATCCCCATGATTACCCATGTATCACGTTACGTAAATTAAAAGGACATTTTTGAGAAATTGGTAAGTCAATATGCTTTATACGTAAATTTTACGTATTATTGACAGAATGATATTACCATTGCGATATTTGGTAAAAAAAACTGGTATATTTTACGTAATATTCACAGAATGGGTTTACTAACTACACTTCGGTAAGATTGCTTTCGTATATTTTTCGAAAGATTGACGAAAGAAAATTTTCTATAAAAATGATTCTGTGTATTTTACGTATTATAAACAAAGCAAATTTGCAATTTAAATTTCGGTTCAAATTTATTTACGCGAATATTCTAATTTTTGAATAACCATTTTTTTGCTATAATTCGACGGTTCAACTTGTGTAAATTTTGAGGTATGGTTGACATAAATATTATGTAAAAATAATGCACTAAAATATTCATAAAATTTGTTTACGAAAAATGCTACGTACATTTTGCGTTTTTTGGATAACTATTTTTGCTATAATTTGACGTTTTAGTTTTGCGTAAGTTTTATGAATGCTTAGTAAAATTTAAAAGTGAAATATAGGTATTTTTGACATGAAACTGATGGTTTTCTGCTACCTGGTTCGATGCTTTCTACAGGTATTGCAACCGTGGAAACAAATTGGGCCACCATATTTGTTTTTTGTGGCTTTGCCGGATTGCAAATGACTTAATTTATATCTGCGATTGGTGATTTTTTTTTCTTTGATCAGCTATTTTCATGAACTCTTAACCGCAAATCATTTCTCTCTTGGTACAGTTTGGTAAAAGTGAGAAGCATACATCCTCTTCATCAACACAACTTATTTTTTACCGTTTTAACATGGTTCAAAACATCTGAATACCTTTGATGTACTATTCCTTAACTCACGCATTAATCATAACATTGAGTTTACTTATTAAAAGTTAAAAAGAAATATATCTTCTGTTTTTTTCTCTCTTTCAGTCGTGAAAATGAGTTTGACATATTAGTTGCATTGGATGATAAACAAGAGGCTTCGGGAGAGTTTTATTGGGACGATGGAGATTCATTAGGTAACCATATCTGATTCACTATGCGTTTTTTATCATAAGTAAAACATTGTTCTCAATAAAATTACTGAAAAATTGAAAATCAAATTTTCTTATCTTTTTCACTTCTTTTTTAAAAAATGTTAAAACAGTTACTCCGAATGGTGCCTTATATCACAACTCCGAATGAATGTAAGTTTTAAAATTGATGACGTTCTTTATAAACGAAATTAAGAGAAGCATTTATAAATAAAATTAATTTTTCTAAATAATTATAAGCTCACCACCGTTAGAAATGTCTCCAAAAAAAGGATAGAATATTGTAATTTAACCAAAACAATTAAATAACCATAAAACGATGGTATTGAAATTGTTAATTGTAAAAAAAATCGTTTACTGATTTATTTCACTTAAGAGGATGCCATACTAGGAGAGAAACTTTTTGTCGCAAGTTCTACCTCACTTCTATTACTAATTTAACATTAAAAAAAAAGAAAAAGAAAGTTCAGTCAAACCTAAAATAGGCCGTGAAGTTTCAATTGCTGAAAAAAAAATTGGCAACTATGAAAATTCAAGGTAATTACTGGAAGAGAGCTTCTCAATTGCGCACTCCTAAGTTACCTTTTCATAATTTATTTTATTTGGTTGTTGCTGTTCATTTACGTCGCACTAGAGGGCTATTGGCGACGGTCTGGGAAACATTCCTGAGGATGATCCGAAGACATGCCATCACAATTTTGATCCTCTGCAGAGGGGATGGCACCCCCGCATCGGTAGCCCGACGACCTGCACGCGAAGTCGAGCACTTTACGGTAGAACAGTTTAACGAGGACCAATACCGCACACCCTCGGTCCCTACGCAGACTGATCCAAGTGGTCACTCATCCGCACACTGACCGCAGACAGTGATGCTTGACTTCGGTGATCTGCTGGGAACCGTGTCTTAACGATCAGTCCACTGTGGGACTTATTTTATTTGGATATTTTAAACATTTGTTTTCAGTATTCTAAAGCATTATTAAGAATTAATTCATGACAACTTGACTAAATAATCTCTTTGACGAAAGTTTCAATAATATATTTCGAAAGTTTTTGTAAGAACCAAATACTAATTCAGAAAAAAACAAGTTTGGAGATAGAATTGTAATAGTACCCGAACAGAAATAAGTTTAAATTTTATTATCCTGAGATAGTATTTCCCAAAGCGCGGTACGCGTACCCCCGGGGGTAAGGGAATAGATTAGCGGGGGTACGCGTTCTTATGCGAAATATCTTGCAACAAACGAAAATTTCAAAATTTTTTATTTAAAAACAAAGCTAGCCATGAAAATTTGCGACTACGTATTTTTCTATTGGCTATTTTTTGCTGAGTTAACGGTTAATAATTAGTGGTGTTAAGACAGTTGTGGTTTTTAANTTATTAGTGGTACACAGTGTTACGAAAAATTTAGAAAGGGTACAAAAAAGTCTTAAGTTTCGGAAACACTGTTGTAAGATAATCGAAAACTAAATCCGTAGAACCAAATCTGCTTTATCAGGATAAAAAAAAATTTTTGAAATTAATAATTTTTGATTTTAATGTAACAATCTGTTTATAGTCAATCACTGAAGGTTGATGTGAAGTCATCAAAGAACAGAGTTTCACAGTTTAATTTAAAAAACCATTCTTTTCCATATTAATTTTACTGTATAACATCATTGAGTGTAACAAATTTCATTTGACTCTTATTAATTTTTGCTTCAGATACATACAAAAACGGAGTTTACAACCTAAATAAATTCACAGCTGCCAAGGTAAGACAATTTAATATTCAATAGGTATATATCATTTTTGCAATATTTTTATTAAATGTATGCAATGTATCGTGATACATGGTACTCTTTTCAAAATATCGCAGAAGCGAAATTTTAACCTATATTCATACGATATATTAAATACTATCTTTTACGTTAAATATCGATAATGTATCGACATCAATATCACGAGTGTTTCCAATTGGAAGCATTTTCTTCTTCTGTTGTATGAAATTTGTTAACAGATCTTAGGTACTTTGGTAACTCCAATTTCAAACCTGCAATCGGTTTCTCTCTAACAGTAAAAATCGGTTCCCTCTAGCAGTCTCTCTAACAGTAACTGATAATGTGTCCATCAACCCTAGATGCTTGTCGAACATTCACGTAAACCCCTGTTATCAGTTATTTATAACGTTTTTAAACTTACACATTTGAACTAAAAGTAGAATAAATATACACTTCATAATTTAAAAAATCTGTAGCTTTAGGAACAAAACTAATTACAGATTTGAAATTTCCTCACCCGAATTAGGAAAAATCAAGTCTTTCTATAAATGCAACAAAAAATTTGCCCCCCCCCCAGTGCTATCTATCAGAATGGTTAGTAACTACGAACTCACTCGTCGACCTCTTTCCTCTTTTCGACGCATGGTGATTCTTCACCCGTTCGTGACTCGGGGCCTTGTGCCGGAGAGTCTGCCTACGTGGTTCTAGTATTATTTGGACTGTATTGTAGTTTCATCGAGTTTGCGGACCTGAGTCTGGGTTAAATAAATATTATCGAATATGATATTGTCTTTATTTCATATGAAAAACGAAAATATTGACTACTGAAGGCTTGAAACGTGTAAAACATACCAACTATCGTGAAATATCGATACTTATTGGTGATATATCACGATATTAAAATTCCGCGATCACTCAATGCTAATTTTTATCATATAATTAAAGCGCAACCTATTTTTTTTGTATGATTTTTTGAAATAAGTATATTTTATATTTTCTAGAACACATTCAATAATACCATTATCAAGCATCAGTTCCATAGCTTGTTAAACCTAAACGTAATCAGAGTATTTGGTGTAAATCAAAGGCCAACTAAAGTAACGATCAACGGACAGGATGCTCCAAAGTTTGAATATAATGAAGTAAGTTAATTTATAATTATTGTTGGGATTACTAGACGTTACAAATAATGAAAATTCTTAAAATTATATGAATTTCTATTTTTATTCTATCCAAAACCCGCAAATTAAAAAAGCAAAAAAAACATTGACGTTTACTAGATGTAAGGGTTTAATTTTGTTAATAGGGATATTTCGCATAGGGTTATGGTTACCCCTGACGTTAACGCTATTTGAGCTTTACAGCGCATGCGCAGAAATTTCCCTGCAAATTGCTATATCAATAAAGAGTGCAAAAGGGTGTTTATCTTGCTTTAACCGTAACAAAAGTGTTACTGTTAAGGCATGACAAACACTACGCAAATGCCTTAATATTTACTAAGTGTTCGTTAACACTGCTCTTAAAATGTAATTTAAATCAATTTTGTATCCTTCTTAAAAATTAAACGATACTTATTTGCTCATTAGAAGTCACAAATTATTATGTGAGCGAAAAAAAAGAACTTTAAATCGTCACGAAAAAGTAAAAACTTTCTCAAAAACTAACAAATCATTGTAGAATGTGGTATAAAAATATCAAAAACAGTTTGATTGCCGTCTACAATTCGCTTTTCTCCACCTCACAGTTTTTATTGCAGACAAAAAGGCTCTGAAAGCTATTTTGTGGTCTCCGCCATTAATAATTCGTCAAATTTTGATAATATTATTACTTTTCTACGCTTAAATATAAAAAAATTGTGACCTTTAATGCATATAATTTGTTACTTCATT